CTAATGTTTTCTATTCAAATGTGTTTATGACCTGGTATAGGGACCCTCATGGATGTTTGAGGACTGAACATGTGTTCCAAGGATTAGTTTTAGTTATCCATCACTATTTTAGAGTAAACCTTGATTAATCAGTTTTTCTCTAATAGTATTACAATATTCTTAACAAAAGAAAATAATAACAATGAAATTTACAATTTCATCCATAACGATATGTAATAAAGTCACTAGAGATTTTTTTAAGTTAAATTTCTAAATTGTTGCTGTAACTTAATGATAATTTTTTAAAGACATGAACCTGTAGACAATGTGGTTTTAAAATTTTATTTTTAGACTCAATATATGGTATGTAGTATGGCACTTATTTTCTATTATTTAGCCTCTTGGAAATGCACAGAAAAACTGAGATGGATGGATCTAAGGAAAAGTATAATAAAGCTCACCAGTACTGACAGATAACTTTCAATTACAGTTGTTTGGGTCTTAATAACTACAAACCTTATACTCATTGTTTTTAAATTACTATAAATACAGGAATGCTTCTTTTGTCAGAAGTGTAAGTATTCAGTTTATTAACCATATAAGAATGAAATAATATCATTTAGTCAATATTTAAGTAAAAGTATTATTAATAATAATTAATATTTTCTTAATTTCATATAAGTCATTAATTTAAAAAGGTTTGTAACAAATTGAAAAAATATGACAAGTATAAATTTAAAATAATGCGGCTAATACTGTTTAAATTAAAACATTTTATCTAAACTATTATATTGGAAATTAATATTAGTATGGGTAAAAAACAGGTGTTCAAAAACAATAATTAATAATCAATATTATATTTGTGTTTACATTCACTGTAAGGTAACTGTACTGATACTGAATAATCATTTTTAAGCAATAAAACACAACTATCAACTAAATCTCTTAAGAGTTCTATGATACTGATAGATATATGAATAAGTACAACAGTCCAGGAAGACAACATTAATAAATATGGCAGTTCCAGTACTCAGCTGCAAAAAATATTTTCGTTTTATACAGCTTTTTCACTACACTGAAACCTGCACTATAAAGTAAAATATCTGACAAATGCTAATTTTTTAGGCAGATTTATCTTGATGGTATTTATGAGATAAAATATTCAAATTTACATGAAACTGTTGAAGACATTAGTTTCACTCCACTCAGTATTCTAACATCATAAAGCTACAGATTTACTTTACACTATATATCCTTTATCTTTCGTTTACAGCTAGGAAGATGCAATTCCTAACAGAAACCCTCCAGCAAATCCTGTAGCAAGGAAGATATTCTCCTTCACAAATTTTTTTCCCTGAAGAAAAAACAAAAGAAAGATTTATTTTAATAAATAAAATACATATACAGATTTTTGCTGTGTATTTTCTTGTTATAATTTAAATCTGTGTCCTTTTCAAACTTTTGGTTGTATCCAAAACTTGTTGCTTAATAGCTGATGTTATTTTTTTTGGAGTTAGAATGTTGAATTACTTTTTTTTTAACATTGATGATGAAAGTTGAAGAATCTGTAATTAAATTATAAAACTATTTTCCACCTGATGAATCAGTTGCAAATATATTGACACAACAGTATGGATACGATGAGTTATACCTGTTTCATACTCTTGAAAAGCTTAGCCTCAAACTTAGGAAGATATCTATTAATATTCAGTTCTTAATAACATGAACACCACAAAGTTATTCCAAAACACCTGAACTTCAAAACAATTAACCAAAATCTCCAAGGCTTATCATTAATGTCAAAGAAAGCTATTGGTAGAAGAATTGAAACCAAAATATCGTCAGAAAAAACAAACAACCGATAACAAACCAACATATTAAAGCCAGTTTGAACTTAAGAATAAAATTTTGTGGATCATCTTCTCACCAATCTGACTGAAAACCTTCACCAGACTTGAAAACAACCAGAATGTCAAGCTTAAACTAAATTAAATGAGAACATTAAATAACATAAATCCCAATAAGGTCATTTTTGATTTTACTGAACTTAGTAAAAATGCTCTATCAAGATGATTAAGATTTTGTCTACCTGTAAACTTAAGTGTTTGAAATTTGTTTTTCCTTTTGAATGTACCTATAGAACTCTTAAATTTCTTCTTAGATTAACAAAAACAGCACACCATACAGCCTACCTCATTAAAACTATATCTAAAAATGCAGCATTCCATAATTTGAAACCCCCTAAAAAATCCTTCTCTTATTACACAGGCTGTTTTCTGCCTTAAAAGAACTTGCCAGTAACCAAAACATTGTTATCCAGCCAGATAAAGGTGTAGGTGTCATCATTATAAAAAGATGCAATTACACCTCCAAAATGGAAGACATTTTAAATGACAGAACAAAGTTTTAAACCCCTCAATAATGACTGGCTTAAGCTTACTCTCAAGTGTGAGGAAAACTCCAAAGGAGTTTAAGATATTTACTCACCCCTGACACCACTTTTGCAAAACTAAATCTTACAGGTTCCCAGCCTTATATATAGCTTACCAAAAATATACAAAAATGGATTATCCTTTAGACTTATTCTACCTGTTTGCAGTTCCCACACATACAAGCTCATTAAATATCATATACCTGCACTAAGCTCACTAACTGAGAACAAATTTACTGCTAGGCTACTTTTTTTACCTCCGCTCAAGAGATATCTAAATTTCCTATTGCAAATCAATTTATTATGACCATCTTTGATATTCTGTCCTTATTCACTAACATCCTACTTGAAGAAACAATTCATATAATTATTAGACAATTATTCCTCACCAAACATACCCTGCACTCTAACTGACAAAAATTCAAACAGTTTCTTAAATTGGCTTTCAAGGGCAATCACTTCATTTTTCATGGTCAAATTATGACCACATAGATGGGAAGGTGGTGGTATCATCCATAGGTCTGGATATGTTTCTTTGCTATCATAAACATCCATTACAAACCAGTATTATATAAAAGGTATGTTGATAATAATTTTATATTTTTTCATGACACCAATCACGCTAAGAAGTTTTACAATATCTAAACTCACAACATACATGTGTAAATATTAATTTAGCTATTTTAGATGTCAAAATAAACAATATCTTTGTCACATATGTTTACCATATGAAAACATTTACTGGCTTATACATAAATCTCCTAAACAGTGTATAACATTTGTTTGGACTATTTCTGTCTTCACTCAGAAATTTCCAAAATTCATAAGATAGTACAAGGTAATGGTTATCCACTTAATGTATTACACTATCACATGAATATTTTCAATAAATAAAAGAAAACCTATCAAGAACCCACACATCATCTCAAAAAATCCACTAGTTCTTATCAATCCTTTCATGGTTAAACAAAGTTTTAAACTCAAATTAGAAAATTCCAAAATTATCAACACATATTATCCACACATTAAGCAATGTTTATTATTTAAGTTATTAGATTAGAATTTATTAGAATCAAAAAATTCTCTAAAACGAAAGAGACACTACCCATCCAAGATGCTTATATTGGTAAAACTATACATCACCTACAAAAGTACAACAAGCATATGGAGATTTCAGATAAAAGTAAATACAAGCTAAGTAAGCCATCTGGGTCTTGTATCTGATTGCATAGTGAGAATAACAACCATCCAATACTTCTTGAAAACTTTAAAATTCTCGACTTTGGAGCATAAGATTATGAACAATTTATAAAGAAAGCCTTTCCCTTTTAAATAGTCACCCAATACAATATAATAACACTAGCTTGTCATCATTAATACAATCAATTCAAGATTCCTAGTTCTTATTATGATTATTGTTTTAAAGATACAGTGATTAAATCTGTGCTAATATGATAAATAGTTATTAGTGCATAATCATTTACTAACTTTATAATTAGTTTACTCTATTGGTGAAACTTGAAACATTTTTACTTTTTCTTACATAAATATTTTTAATCAAAGTAACCTATTGAATAAAATTATTGCTAAAGAAACATTTGCTAAGAATGTGATTAATTTAACTGTTTATGCGAGGCATAATAGGAATACAGAAATACTAAGTGGTTTTCAAATTTGAATATATTTAATAATTTTATGTTTTGAAAAACATATGAAAGTTATAACTAATCAAGTAAATATTTCAACCAATTATTCTGAAAAAAAAAATAGTAACTATGATTTATTTTCCCAATATGTTTCATATTTTTATAAACTCATAATCAAAATTAGAAGATCAAATTTTAGCTGTTACATGAATTTCAGATATATGTAAGCAAAAAAAAAAACAAAAAACTTTTAGCTATATACATGGATTGTGTGAAAAAATAGGATTCCCTAAATGAAGGAAAACTTATTGCAGAAGTTCAAACTGACTACTATCTTATTATATAAATAATTGTTCATATTATTTTTCTTTCTATATAGAGCTTTTTAAACTATATAATCAGTACCAGAGGTTATGTTGATTAATTGCTGGTTACATCAATAAAAATTAATTTTTAAACAAATAATTTGGTGACATATCCTCTAGATAAATCTGTAACTGAATATTTGAATGCATCATATACCTGACTACTATAAAGATAATTTACACAATTCACATATTTTAAGCCAACAAATTTGGACAGCAGGATGTATGTATCTATATATATATTTAGATTAACTTAGTTTTCATGCTTAATGAAACAGTAAAAAATTCAAATTACAATGATTAAATAATGGAGCTTCATATTAATGTATCAGTCAATAAAATATGTGCCTCAGGAAAAAACTAATGTAAACTTTTATTAAAAAAAGAACATTCTTGAAAATATTATATTCATGATATATACAGGAAAATAACTTCCATATTTCACATATCATTATGAACTTGAGAAGTTAACATTTTCCTTACTTGAAAAAGTAATTCTGATAAATACTTACCTCTTCACACATATCTTATTTTCCTCTTGTGTATGTACAATCTGCCAAGCACTTGCAATCCACCAGCCTTGTAAAAACTCCCACCTAATATCACAAGGAACCACATGAACTTGATCCACTGCATGATGACGTAATCATGCAGCAGAACCCTCCATCAATAGCAGTGCAACATACCTCCATGCACAATGACTCCCCTCTTCATTCTTTTTGGCAAATCCTCATTCTTTGACAAGGCAATAAAAATATGTAATGAGAGAGGGGGAGGACTGGTGGGAGCATATATGTAGGTGAGTACTTATTGAAAATACATTTTCAGGTAAAGAAAATGTTAATTTCCACAAAGAATAGCTAACATTCTACATTGAGATGGTGGATGAACTGGTGCAAAGATTACAGAGATGAGATCCCTACAAAAAGTAGTTGAAGAAAGCATATGGGGTGTGACACCCAATTGCAGGGGCTCCATAGGGGCACACCTGTGGACCGCATCTTGTCTCATCCAGGGTATACTCTTCATCTTTACATAAGAGGAGATGTAAAAGCTATAAATGTGTCACAACGATGAGCAGAATAAGTCGTGACCATCTGAGTACTTGCATACAACTTGTTGGACAGCCAATATATGTAGTGAGGGTGAGACTTGTTCAGACCATACCTTGTGTGATCACTTCCTTTATCATTAGATCTGATGGGTCAAAACCAGCTGTGGGAGAAGAGCACTTGTGATAAGTATCCATGATCACCTCCTCTACCGTCAGTTAGTACAGGCCCTTTGCAAGCTGTGAGAGGAGGGCACAGTATGAAATCATGTCAGTAAGGATACTTATATAATCTCTACAGTCACTATGGGCCACATGCCTGCATACGAGTGATACTTCACTGGTGTATAAGGTGTTGTCACCTCAACTCTACTGTCAGCTAGGAGCTGGTAGGTGGCAAGGGTCTCCTATGCTCCACTCAATAAGGGGGAGAAGAATTCACTTAGGGGAAGACATGGAGAATATAGCTAGATCCCCATCAGTCATTCAGTCCTGAAAGGTCTTTTACTGGTAACACTACAATGGATGACCATGAAACCCTATTTTTCAAAGCCAGCAAGTGCTAGCCAGAGAAGTGGGCAAACACAGAACTCCAGTGCTGTTTTTTTTCCATGATAGTCCATGGAATGGATGCAGTCTAGATCACATATGGAATGTAATATAGATATATATATTTAAATACTACGAGGAAGCCTCAAATGGTTTTGTGGAACACCCCATCTCACAGTATGCACAGGTAGGGCCAGGGCAGATAGTATGAGTGCTTTATATTACTTTGGCCCGATGCAGACTTTGGATAAGTAAGTTACTTGTGAATAAGAAAAATATAAGTACGCTCACCAGCTTAAAGGTGGATTGAAAGATGGCTATGGGTGAAAGTCTAAATCTAACTGGAGATGAGACAGCCAAGTGGTAGAAATAGTGGGCAAAAAGGTGTATGGGGTAGTCTACATGCTAGCCTGGAGAATCTCTTCTAGAAAACGGTGAAAATAAGCTGCAAGAGAATGAGTAAGATGTTGAATCTTGTGAGAGGAGACAAGTAAGAGCTGATGATTGTCCATCCTCAAAGTGGAGTAAACCAGACAGATGAACTGGTGGAACCATCTAGTAAGTGTGAAAGGAGAGAACTCTAGTAGAAAGAAGTCCCAAGGAATGAAAAGATGGTGACGTTAACCCTGAAAAGAGGAAGTGCAAGATAGATGACAAAAACAGCCTTTACAGGACATATGATTTTGTCAGGGTCAGAATAATCATAGATATGGGATATAGAAAGAAGGGATATTGGAGAAAAAGTGTATCCATCTACCCCAGCAGCAGAAGTCTTAGGAAAGAATGACTGACTGGGGAAGGAAGAAAGTAAGTGCAGTGGTAGAGAGTTCTGGAGGAATCTATGATATAGACTACAAGAAGGAGAAAGAAATAGGTTTTGAGAGAGAGATCATATAGGAGCAAGTAGCAAGAGGTTCAAAAGTCACAGATGAAAGCATGGAGAACCACTTTTGGGTCCAGTTCGACAAGGGAGTAGGATCAGGGGGTTTATGTATTAGGAAGGAACTTAAGAGAGTGGTAAGAATAGGTGAAGAAATAATTCTGAAGAATCAGGAAAGGCAAAACTCACAATGGTGGAACAGAAAGGAAGAGATACAATCAGAGAATTTGGCTGAATGGACTGTACAAATCCCACATGTGAAGTTGATGGGATGTCACTTTTTGATGAAAGAGTAAGATGTGCAGTTGGAATAGAAGGGACAGAGTGGTGGGAGGAGGAGCTTGGTTGAGCAAAGATGGAGTAATGGAAACCAAAATTGGGCAGGCCAGTAAGGAGCTACCAACAGGACTTTCAAAAATGGGTCTCCCAAATCAGAGCAAGGTTCCAAGGAAAGAGGCATAGAGGCTTAATGCAATTGAAAACATAAGGGGTTAACTCTATTCCAAATGAAAGGGCAGAGAACTGGAAAATGTTATCCCTATGGATGAATCTGAGAAAATGTTGTGATGACAGGGCAGTTGAGATGTGGAGAAAGGCACTTGACATATCGACTAGGTCATCCCCAGGATGGGTTAGAATGACCAATGGAGGAAAGGTTGATAATTGGGTGTCAGTCCACAGTATCTTCTGGGTTCAACAAAGAGAGGGGGGGGTGTAGTAACACAGAGAGAAGTCGTGAACTCCCTCAATGGCCTGTTTCTCCAATAAATATGACACTGTCCACATCCAAATGTTGAAGCTAGGTCATATGAGTGTTGAAAGGCAACAGGTTGGAAAAGAAGAGAAAGGTGAGGGGAGAAAAGTGAAGAGAAAGACCATAGGAAAGAACTAGAATAACCCATCTGTTGGCAAAGAATTGTTTTCATAGGTCAGCAAATCGAAACAGATGGGCTCCCACAGGCCCTTAACTGACCACATGGTCACTGGCAATTAGGCTGGTGGGTGAAACATTGGATGGGAAAAGGTGGAAGGTCAGGATACAGGAACAGAAAGGAGGGCCAGAAGTGGAGGGGCAAGGATGGGACAGACTGAAAACTAGAGAAGTAAGGGAAGATTGGTCACAGACAGCTTCAGCCTGTGATTTAAGGGAACCTGGTGCACCATAAAAATTTGTGGATGAAGAAAAGAGGCAAACAACAACAAAGGAATCAAGTGAGAACAAAAAAAAGGCAGAGGAGGCAGAAAAGGCCATTTTAGAAAAGAGGAATGCTCTAGAGTCCCCAGAAAAGTCATTAGTGGAACAGTGAAGTGCTTCCATCATAAGATGGAGAAAGGAAAGGTATTTAAGAAGGGCAGTGAGAAAGGTTCAAAGTCAGGAAAATAGGGTGCTAATAGGGAAACCGCTGATAATGAATCTGCCCCAACTGGTAAGAGAAACTCAAAAGACTGGGTGTCAAGGAATGGAAATGGTTTGAGTGAGCAAAGCAAGGACTTAAGAATCAGTAAGATGAGGCATAAGGTCATGAGAATAAAGTTGATCGAGAAAGGGGTTGGCATGTACAGCAATGTCTGGGGAGGGGTGCAAAAAAATCACAAGGGAAAGGGTTGTGTAATAGAAAATGGGAATAATCAAAGGACAAGGGAGA